AGTTTTTTCTTAAGAATTGAAACACATGGCATTCCACTTACTATATAAGGTAACTAGTCACATGCCCACTGATTTTTACTATAAAATTTGTATCCTTTAACTACGAACTACTATTTAATTATTTTAAATATCTTATTAATACTCAAACTTTTTTGAATTATTTTAAAATATCTTATGTTATTTTATATAATTTCTTATATAATATTTTGTAATATCTTATATAATATATATTTTTTTTTTTTAATGTTAAGGTGACCTTTATAGCCGGGGCTTTTTTTAGATAATTAACAATATTTACAATTATGATGAGGGTATAACTAGCCACACGTACAACTTTTGGTTGTCTATTTAAGTAGTCTGCCCAAGTTCTACACTAGCCACTATACCTGCAATCTAACTAGAAGATTACTTATTTAAGCTCTTTGGCTTTTACAAGTGAGAGTACGACTAGCCATACTTGCAACTTTTGGTTGCCTATTTAAGTAGTCTGCCCAAGGTTCTACACTAGCTGCCATACCTGCAACTCAACTAGGAGATTATCTATTTAAACTCTCTGGTCACAACCAGCCTGTCATTTCTTACCTAACCAAAGTATAACTCACTATTCATATGCTAGATTTTGTGACACCTATAGATTTCACACCCTACCTAGGATTACTTTATCCTCAAAATAAACCTAACAGAGCAGTACATGTCCTACATATGTATTCACCTGCATATTTGGTAACTTCTTCCTAATCTAGTACCTGTTGTATTGTCGCTACCGAGTTCATGTCTCAAGCTATCTTTTAGGATACTACTGTAATCTGATCCGTATCTCAAACCACAACCTTCCTATTTTAGTAGTTGTTATGTACTCCTGCCCTTGTATTGGGTTCGCACAACCCTAGCACCCATATTCAAACTTTCCTTCTTTCTCAGATTTTTTATCAGTCTCTCCCTTACTTCCAGCCAGCAACCCGGAAGGGTCAGTTTACCTAGACTTTAGGTGTCTATATGGTCTTTCTTCTTTTGGTACATGCTTCCAGAGCACATATCTTTTTCCTCCAGTTTTGGCGGCCTGGCAGTTCGGCTAGTATGTCCTCCTATTTAAGAACCTAGTAGCTTGGTTCTCCGATCTTAGTCTCCGGTTCCAAATTCGGTCCTCCTGTAGTACCGTTAAAGATCATGCTACCTCCTAATTCAGAACTTGCCAAATGGGTTTTCAGTTCTTTCGGTATCTCGGGTTTATTGCACCAAGGCTTCTATTCTAGATGGTGTAACTGAGATTATAGATTTCTAGATCCTACCGATCGTCAAATAGCCATTAACCATATTACAGGACTATTTTTTGAAAATGTTGTCTATGGGATTCGAACTCTAAACCTGCCATCTGGGGGTGCGACAACTTCACCACTTCACTAAGTTGCCACACCTACTATATAATATTTCATAATCTTATATTTCACAATATTTCATAATATTTTACGTAATATTACATCTTTTTTACAGTTCGTAAATTATTTCGAAATATTTTGCTCTATTAATTTTGCTGATATAGTACTAAAGGTGTTCCAAATCTAATAAGGCCAATTCTTTACTACAGATTCCTTTATGTTTACCATTTTTCTTATTACTCTAATTCTAGTTACTACTCAGTTATTTTTCTAAACAAGATCCAATACTACCTTAAAGTTGTTGGTATCATCTATACTAACTAAGAATTTACATATACAACCTTTGTGTAATAGAACCTTTTATAACAACTATAATTATATATAATATCAACTTTTCTATAATAGACTTCCTTTCAGAAATTTCTAATCTAGACTTGTACTTATTTAAACTTTTTATAGTGAGTATATTCAAATATTTGTAAAATTTGCATCTATTAGAACTTAAACCTAAAATTTGCTTATAAAGAGTTAGAAATCTAGACTACTAAATTATAAGATTTTAACTTACAATTAACTATATATATATACAACTTTTAGTTGTTTAATTTAAGTAGTTTACTCTAAAATTTTATACTAGCTACTATGTTTATAGCCTAATTAGAAAGCTATCTATTTAAACTTTCTGATTTAAACCTTATACTATATTCCTTTTAATATATTCTTTTGGGATAATTTGCTATATAAGATTCTAAAACTTTAGGCTATGGTTAATCTAGTTTTTCAGAAAAATATTTATTCTTGTAATAAATCTAATAAAATAATATATGTTTTACTTATATATTTACCAGCATATTTGATAACTTTCTACTAATTAATATCTTTGTACTATTACCACCAAGTTTATATCTCAAGCTATCTTTTTAAATACTACTATAACTTGATTTGTATTTTAAACCACAAACTTTCTAATTAGTTTTCTATTATATACTTTTTACTTTTGCAAGATTTACAACAACCTTAATATCTATATTCTGACTTTTTTCTTTTTTAAATTCTTTACTAGTCTCTTACTTACTTCTAGCTAGCAACTCAAAAGAGTTAGTTTGTCTAGGCTTTAAGTATTTCACAGTTACCTTCTTCTTGGTATATGCTTTTGAAGTATAAGTTCTTTTTTTCTAGTATTAATCTGGTGGTTCGGCTAGTAAATTCTCCTATTTAAAGATCTGGTTGTTTAGTTCTTTAATCTTAGTTCTCAGTTTTAAATTTAGCCTTTCTGTAGTATTGTTGAAAAGCACTATTACTCCCAAGTCAGGACTTGTCGAATAGATTTTCAGTAAATTTGATTTTTTAGATTTATTGTATTAAAGCTCTTATTCAAGATAGTGTAATCAAAATTACAAATTTCCAGATTTTTAACTATCTATTGCCATTAGCTGTATTATAGAACTAATTTTCAAAACTATTATCTATAAGATTCAAACTCTAGACTTGCTGTTTGGGGTACTGCAACTAATTTTTTTTGATTTTCATATACTGTATATTATAATATATTGTACAAAAATAATTTACTATTGATTTTTTATAAAAAATAATCTATATCATTTTTATTTTTAAACAAATACAGTATAGTTAAACCTCTTTAAATACAGTATATATTGTCAAAACCAGCTTTAGAGTATATATTTAAAAAGAGTTACAATTAGAAAACTCTAATAAAATTATAATATTACTATTATCATATAATAAATATAGCTTTAGTCACCTGGAAATGATAAATTTAATTGGCCTATAATCACGTGATTGCATTTATAAAGGAGTTTTTATAAGTGGGCCAGAGCAATTGCAAAATAAAGAACATACATTTATCAAATAAGTTCCATTATAAGGCTAGTCTTCTATTATATATTTAGAGAGGTGTTGCATTTAGGAGGTTGCATTTAGAGAGGTTTGATTGCACTATACAGTATATTCTAGATAATATATTTGCAAAATATTTTTAAAATTACTTGTTTTGATTTAATCTTTTATACTGTAAATAGCAATTGTTTTTTTTGGAATTTGAAATTTGTCCAGCAAGTATAGCTATAGCCATACATGTTGGAAAAATCCTGACTTACTATAGTTTGGGATTTGTCCGTCATCCCAAATCCCAAATTCTAGCAAAGCTAAGGCCATATAAAATTAGTTTTTTGGTTCTCATAACATAAAATTTTAAAAATGACCCGGCAACCCGGCTTTTAATTTTATTTTTAAAAAATTTTATATGTAAAAAACATATAAAATTTTTTACAAAAATTTTAAAAATTTCACCCGGATAATAAATATAGTAAAAATTTTTTTTCAAAATTTTGTTGAATTTGACCCGGCCGGGTTATGAGAACCAATTAATTAAGTTTGTATGGCCTAATATCTTAAAAACTTTATTAATAATCTCTAAACAAATTGTATATATTCTTATAGTTATAAATACTGTAATATATTTACAAAATATTAAAATTATTTATTTGATTTAATCTTTTATAAATAGCAATTGTTTTTTTATTATTTGGAATTTGTCCGAGTTTTGCCAGCAAGTATAGCTATAGCTGGATTCTAGCGTCATGTAAAAAAACTTGTATGATTCTAATGTTTATTTAAAAAAAAAAACTATTTTTTTTAGGCCTTAAGTTAGTTGAATTTTTAATCTTATAATAAGGTCAACCTAATTTTTTGGTCTTAAAACTTTGATATCGTTGGTTCGATTCCAGCAAGGGTCAATCTATTTTTTTTAAGGTCTTAAGTCGGTTGGATTCTTAGTTTTGTAGTTTTGATTTCGTTTGCTTGATTTAATAAGTTAATTTTTATGATCTCTTTTTCTTAAGCTCAGTAATTTTATATTTAAGACTATATAAAGTGATTTTTTTGGTTCTCATAACATTAAATTTTTATTTTGACTCCAATTAAAATTTTACGAAATAAGAATTTATTTATTTTTTTTTTTAAAAAAAAAATTTACTTTAGAAATAATAAAGAAAGCTGATTAATGAATAAGCCTTATATATTTTTTTATATATATTTTTGATTTGCATTAAATGTTCATAATTACGCGTTAGATCGACCAGCAATCATGTGCTTTAATTACGTATCGAAATAAAATTCAAAAACTGATTTACAGGTTTCCTCTGGCGTCACTTATATAAATGTTCTTAACACTATTTGCATCTAGTAGTTACATTTCACAAAATTTTCAAATAATTCATTTAATAAAAATTTTAAAATGCTTTTTCAAATGCAATATGTTTGCATTTTATAAGCTTATGAAAAATTACACTATTTAAATAATGTATCCCACTTCCGCTATATACCTAAGACGCAAAATGCCTCTAAGAAAAAATACAACAAAATCATTAGAGTTATATAAAGAACAATGATAATAAATTTAGATGAAAAAAATAACTAAAAATTTGTAAAAAAATACAAATTATGTATTATATAAATAAAAATTGCAAAAACCCAAGATAAAAATAAATTGATGAAGATGAACATAAAAAATTCTCCTTATTCTAGCTATCTTCAAATTTAAAAACTTAAAACCATCCTTGTATTCAGCAAAAAAAAAATAATGTATATAAACTTATATGAGGATTATTTAGCATATCTGCCTATAGCTGCGACAATCAATTCCTTATTCTTTTTGTCATCAGAGAAGAAATAATACGGTTCTGACGATCGAAAATCAACTTTAAAGGAATTAAGTATTAAAACCTCGGATTGTGCATCTGTTACGCCAGTGACTTGTCCATCAAGTTCAAGTTTAGAAATAGGAAGTTTATCAGTTTCATCTCGGAAAAGGTAGAGTGTCTTGCCGCGAAGTTCAAAGAAACGACGTTTCCAAAACTGTTGTACATTTGGTTGAACAGTTGCATATTTATCGAGATGAATAAATGGGTATGTAAGTGGATAATTGAGTATGTAAGCTAGAAGTTATTTAAATATCCTGATCAATATATTAATATAATGTAAATTACTTACGTAAACACCACCACCTTGAACAGTAATGTACCCACTTAATGTAACCTAAAAAAAAAGAAAAAAAAGATAAAAATATTAATAATAAAAATAAAAATAATAATAATAATAATAATAATAATTTAAATATGCAAAAAAATAGCCTAGAAGAAAAAGGAGTGAAAATAGTAGTTACCTTGCCACTCTTTTCCAATTCAGCAAACCTGTTCCTAAGTTCTTCATTACGTTTTCGTTCGGCTTCTTCACGATTTTTACGTTCAAGTTCAGCCTTAGCTTTTGCTTCTGATGCAGCTTTTTCTCTTCTTTCTTGTTCTACAGCTTCTTGTTTTTTTCTTTCAGCTTCTTCGAGAGCTCTCCTTTGGGCAGCCTCTCTGGCAACTTGTTCAGCCACTTTTCTTTGAGCTACTGCATCACGTTCACCTTTTTCACGTGCTAGCCTTTCAGCATCTTCTGCAGCGCGTCTTTCAGATTCAAGAGCTTCATCATTTCCTGGTTCAGGTTTAGGTGAAATTGGTGACACAGGAACTTGGGATTGAACTGGACTTCCAGCCGGTGGGGTACTGGGAAGTGTTTGATTACGTTTCGGACCTGGAGGAGAATTTGGTCTCTCAGCTGGTTCACCTAGTTTCAATCTGTTACGAACATTAGCTTCCGTAAGATCATTTGGTGTGGAAGCATTAATTTGAATTTGATGTGCCTGCTTGACAATAAAGAAAGAGTTCACACCAATTTAGGATTCAAAGTAATATTATCAAAACAAATATAACCAATATAAGCAACATACCTTGAACAATGCACCAACGGCTCTGCCGTGGACTAAAGCGCGGGCTATTATTCAGACAAAAAATCATTACCAGTTAATATATGTAAAAAGAAATAAATTCTCTTTAATTAACTCGAATTAATTACCTCTTCGTACACCGCTATAATAAAGGGCAAGTAAAAATAAGAAATAAAATAAATAAAATAAAATAAAATAAATATATATATATATATATTTTTCAATATACTTATTAACTAAATATACCTTACTGCTTCACTAACATAAGTCAGCAGGACAAATCGGTTTTCAATTCTAAGGAATCCATAAAGTACTTCTTCTCTGAGATTATTACGGAGTTCATCGAGACCTCCAGTACCTTTCGAATAAAGGGAAATTTTGTCTCGTGTGTCATGATAACCAAGAATGAGCCTAAATGATAAAAATATATGTTAAGAAACTTTCATGTGGAAATCTATTCTGACAATAGTTTGACAAGAGAGTGATAAGAGTCTGGTTAGACACTGATAATACATATATATTTAATAATTCGAGGCTGTTTCCATTTGAAAATGACTTATAATCGTTCGTTTTTTATACAATAAAACTTGACCTTTCAATACCTTATAACAGTCGGTAGTGAGTTTTCGCTTTGTCATCTGCTGCTCAATCAACCAATAAAACAAAAAGCAGACAGCAAAGCCTTGAACTACCTCAGAATTCATGAATATATAACAGAAAAAATATAAAACCCATACCAGTTAGTATCTTGACCACTAATGATCTCCTCATATGCTTCTTGAATTGCTGGATCTGTTAAATCGCAAGACATTATAATGTATTTCTCGGATAAATGTTATTTTAACACTTTAAAAATTCACACCAAAAAAGTAAATGTAAAGAGGGTGTGATATGGAAATGCTAGTAATGTAATTTTTGGATTAAAGCCAAAAAAAAAGAGCTAATTTTTTTTAAAGGAATGGAAGGCTTTCTGATAAAATGATAGAGAAGAAAAAAGGAGGCGAAATTTGGACTTTGGCACTGAAATACCAAAAAGGTGAAGAACTGATATTTGCAGGTAAACAGGTCAATTAATTGGGTCTACAATTCACATATCATACGTTACAATAGTCATAAAAAATTTTAGATATTTTTATCATGTACTTTGATTTATTCCACAAAAAATCCATGAATTTTTACACAGATTGAATAAATTTAATTAGTACGTACCCAGTACATATTTGGAATTCTTACTGCGGTAATTTTCTGCATTGCAATTTAATAACGCATTTATTAAATTATACAATTGATAAGACAATGCATTAGAAGATCGGCAAACAATCAATTTGTGGAATTTTACAGTATCGTATTAACGTTAACTGAGTACGTATAATTTATCACATATTAGGACATCCAGTTACTACGTATTGATATTACTTATTACCATTTTTAATCCTATAACTCGACAAATTAGATGGTTTATTAAATATTTTTTCTTGTGTTAAACGTATACTTTCAAGATGAGTAGTTCAAGAATTTACTAAAATGCCTAAATGATTTTTTTCACATGTAAAATGGGATTAACCGAATTTACCTTTTTTGATACATTTAAATGTATAGCCGTTTTTATATTATCAAAGAATTGAATTAACCTCGTTTTAGCGAATTCTGTTAGTTAAAAAAAAAAACCATGGAATAACTTTTTTGTTGGTTGTTGGTTGATGATTGGCCATATAATCTAACATGTGAAATTGACTAATAAAATTGCATTTGTAAACAATAAAGTTTTTTTTGGTTAATTGTCCGTGTAGCGAACGCCTTATTTCTATGTAGTGAATGATACGTATCAAAAAAAAAATTATGGTTTTGATAAAAACGTCGTAGTTTTTAAATTTTTGCATGTCACCATTGCACATTGTGTGTAATACAATAAATCTATTATATATATACCGATAGTTTACAAATACTGAATTAATACAGTACTTTCTTGTTATTTAATGAATATCAGTGGATACGGTATTCCACAGAATAATAGTAAAATCACGTGGCAGAAGGCCACGTGGTTTACCATTATTCTGTGGAGTACACCGTGTCCACTTCATTAAATAACTAGTTTATTCCATGGGTACGACGTAACAACCCCATGCAACCTCTTTAATACCGATAAATAAATCAAGGAATTTCATGACATAATGATAAGTATTTAAATAAATTTTTTATCTTTTATTCATTTTAATGCTTTTCTGTTGTTATCGTTCTTTAACTACAAAAAAAAAATTTTATCCATTACTTCATACAGTATCAGCCAAGAATTTTAAGATCTTTCACTTTAATCTGACTATTATGCCAACCAAGAACTCTAAATTTTTACTTAGAATAGCAAGAGAATTTTAAAGCTTTTCTAAATAGTACTAGCAAGTATGAGACATTGGGGTGTTCTGTGGCCTATGTAAATCAAAACTATGTGTGGTATCATATAAAAATTAAATATTGGAGATTTTTTATAATACATGTAAATCGATATATAAAATATAGGCCCATATATGAATTTTTTAATACAAATATGCAGTACTGCTATAAATTTGTTTATATGTACATTATATATATTTATGATTTAATAACTAATTTACACTAGTTTAACAAATTATTTAAAAGATTTGATGCAGCTTCTTCACCGAATTGTATTAGTTGAATGTCTTGCAATACTGTAGTTTTTTGGTGCTTTCTTTGAGATCGTATTTCCTTAAGACCCAAATCCAAACTTTCACGTTCAATTTTATTTGAGGCTAAACGAAGCTTTGATTCTTTTAAAGATCGTGACATATTGGGATGAGTTTTTAAATCCAGCATATTAAAAATTCCCTCAACTTGCTGCTGGTGGACAACAATAAAATAGATATGAGTTTTGACGAAATTGTAAAGCTTAGGAAATTCGTGCAATTTGGGATCCTTAGCTGCGCAGAAATTCTCAAATTCTTGATAAAATTCAATATCACATAATAATAACTTATGCAAGCCGAAATCACTTGTATTTCCATTTTTAATGTCAACCTCTAAATTGGTTGCATATTTTAACTCCAATTCTGTAGGTGGTTGTGTCCAAGGTTTTTTAAGAATAGTAAATCGATAGCTATTAGCAAATAGCTGAGCACAATTTCCACCGAGTTGACAAATTATTAAGGGCAAATGTAACCATGAATTCATCCATTTCTCAAAATATTCATAAGTTTTAGTAATTCCACGTTCTAGATCATCAAATAACTTTTCAAATTCATGATTTGGCAATACATCTATCACCTCCAATAACTCATCAGAGAAAAACATTTCGAAATTATCTTTTAGATTGTTAAGATATTCTTTCCACTCATTAACTTTTTCTGTCATCTCATGTGCACGCCTACCCGGAGGTAACTGAACCAATTCACCATTTTGTATAATACGTAAAACAGGATCTCGACTAACCATAAACTGTATTAAGGGTTCATAAAAATGTTCCGCAAAAGTAACTAAACATTTTATCTGAATATTTAATATCGGATTTGTTATCCATGATCTAAAAAGGTGCCAATCTCTAAGATATGATTTGGGAGTTTTATTATAATTCTCTAATTTTGTAATAAACCATTGAGTAAATTGTTCATGAGCCTTATGACGATCAAGATACTGCTTTGCAGTTCGTAATTCATAGCCCCAACGAGATCGAAGTGGCATTTGATACTGATTATAATGATAGCCTAATAATTTATCATACAAATATTGAATTATTTCAGCATTAATGTTGAGCGGCTTGTCTTTGCTACTTATATTATATCCATTGTGTAGACTCCACACCAGGTATAGTAGATTATAAGGGTGTGCATTTCGAGAAAATCCAGCTGTAAGAGATCCGAATGCTTCTTGCTCAAAATGATCAAGCACAATTTGCATAATATGGAGGCTACAGCCAACTCGAAATGTACTTGCACCTGTTTTTTTATTAAAAAGAGAAACTGCCCCTTTTTTATTTGACGACATATATGCCGTATTGTCTGTAGTCCACACTTTACATTTCATAACATCAAGACCTTCCCTTTGAATTGATTCAATAACAATATTGGACACAGTTTCGCTATTACATCTAAGAATATTTTCAAGATGTGTTGTAACTATAATAGGACTTTGTTTTTTTTCATTCCAAGCTTGATAGCATATTACCAAATTCTTTATTTCGCCGCGTGTAGATTCGTCAACCATAACTCCAAAAGCTGGTGCTTGCTTTATTTGAGAAATTTGTGTTGTATTATAAAAATTAGAGACATCATGGTGCCATGTATTAAGCGTTGAAGCTGATATCCAGTTCCGAGGAGGTTCGCCAATCAAGAATTCATAAATAATTCTTGTACATTCGATTGTAGATCTCATCGATATATTTCCTACTTGTGAAATAGTACTGGCAAGCCAAATAGTGTTAGATGAATATTCATACTTATTAATTTTAAAGAGTGATTTAATTTTGTTTTTGAATACGGTATCTGTCATTGTTTGCGAACTTCGAACCAAAGAACGGATCTCTGAAATATGATGTAACTTTTGATTATGTAAAATTTTTTTCTGCGCCCCAAGTGATTGTGTTTTTCCAATCAATTTTTTAGTTTGGCAGGATAGCTTTTTATTCTCTAATACCAATTTATTATTTGTATCTCGTAAGGATTCATTTGATAAATGGGATTTATAAAGACTATCAGTAATATAACTATGTGCCTTTTTCTGAAAATGAGGTGATAAAAGTTTGCCTTTATTAGACCCTCTGGGATAACGCATAATTGTAAGGAGATGATTTGCCGCATGTATCTCTTTACTAGATAGCTGCTGAATTAAAAGGTCTAGCTTGGTTTTTTGATATTCTTCTTTTGAAATTTCATCGGCATGTGAAAATTCTCGTTCTTCATTAATAGATTCAAGTTCACCATCGCCATATGAAATTTCTTGTTCTTTCGTTAATATTTTATAAATGTTATTGAGTTGTTCTTGGTCCAAATCGGATAATAGAGCTTTGATTTCTGTGATATTCTTATTGCGAGAGATAGCTTGACGTTTTTCTACACTTTTTTGTGCCGCTTGTCTAGCTTGGAAACGTCGCTTATACGATTTGTAAATTCCCATTTTGGTAAATTTACTAATTTTTTCTAAATTTAGATGTAGCGATCCAAATTTGTCTTGTTTTAAGGTAACCAAATCTAGTAAAATTAATAATTACTTTAGAAGAACAAAGTTACGTTAAAAAAAATCATGTTTAAAGCAATAACTTTACCGGCTGGCAAGATACTTCTTTTTTTTCGATAGTGCGCAGTATAAAGTAGATTTTTAATGAAGTGTTGGTTCGAAATTTAAATATTGGTATAAGAAACTTTTAACGTAACTTTGTTATAAATACATTTAAGTATGGTTTTATGCTAAAAGAATTAAAGTAAATTATATAATTCTGTCATTGCATCTAAAAATATTCGTATCATTTTTTACTATTTAAACTTATATTAAAATGATAAACTGCCCTGATCACTGTCTCAATCATTAAATCCACAAAAAATCCATCGATAATAATTTTACTAATGATCCACACATAGTTTTGATTTACATAGGCCGCAGAACACCCCAATGAGACATGCCCTCCTGCAGGGGTTTAAAATGTTGTTAAATATAAATCAAATAAGTTGACTTACCCAAATTTATATATAAAATTTGGCAAAAAAAATACTTTTTTTAATTTACTTAATAAAGTAAATATAAAAAATAATTTTAGATATGGGATTTATATTTTTTAGTATTTAATAATTCTTTAATAAAAGTTATAAA